TGCTGTTAGTACCTGTTAAATGCCTGCAGCATCCAGGAACCACGACACGGCACTACACAGGCTCCTAACAAGGCCACAGTCTCTGATGTGATAAGGTTTCTGTAAGACCTGTTGGTAACAGTTAGGCTTGCAGTGCAGACAAGATTACAGCGTAGAGTACAACTGCTTCCAGACATGGCCTGTTAGAGAAGCAGTGCAAGCAGGGTCAGGCAAGGACTATTTCATGTAAGCAAAACAAGCAAGAACAAGGAGCGGGCCAGTAAATTCCAGAGAAGCCAGCCCAAATTCCAGTGAATTTGAAGTGTTTGAGAAGGGTCCGAGGAAGAAAAGTGCCTGTGTGGCTCTGCGGGTTAACAGGGGGAACAGAGCACCAGCACAGCTGAAGGAAACTGCTCCCACAGATCTGTGGCAACAGACAGGCTCTGCAGGCACCACAGCAATTCCCTCCAACGCTGGGTAAGGATGCTCAAATCCTTTTTCAGCCATGCCCCACCCAGGCTTCCCAGTTCAAATAAATGCCCCTTATCTACAGGGCTGTCTATTTACTGAAGGCTGCCAAGTGTGGTGACCTGTTCTGTGGATATTACTCTTAGCAGGACATGGCTTAACTTTCCAACGAACACATTGCAAGACACCGTGCTGGCAGGAAAGCACAGCCCTCTATCAGTAATGAGAAACAGAGTCCTCTTAAGAGGAAAGCTGCTCTGAAGGCTCTGTCTGTGGCCAAAAACGCATGGAAAACTCTCAGTTAACCAAGTGATTCCAGCAGCAGACTAAGACTACCAGATAATCTACAGCTCAATTTTTCCCCTTGACTGGTTTTCACAGAACCAGAGGAGTGTTATTTAGAAAGGAGGAGGGAAGGTCTCTCATCCATCTGGAGCAGAGCCATCACTAACATGAAGCCAAGGGGCTCTGTCTTCCCTCTCTTTGTGGAGGACAGCAATATGACCATGCTGTCCCCCAGAGTGTGCTTAAACACAGCCAAACTTAGTGCAGGAGCAGTCACCCCCTCTGTGCATGGCATTTGGCATCCCAAAAAGCCTGGTCTCTGTATGTATTCAGCTACTTATCAATTCAAGATGTGAATTATTATGAAATAAAGAAAGGATCATGGCAAGGAGACCTCCAAATCACACTGACTGCAGTCATAACTAAAAATCAGCAATGCCCAAGCATGGTGCTTTGCTGAGCACGTGGCTGTCTGGGAAGGTGCGTCAAGCCCAGGACCTGCACACCACCTCAAAGCTGAACACCAGCACGATGAAGCAACAGCCACTTATTGAGACATCACTGGCTCACAGAGGTCCATTTGGCTGTGTGTGCTCTTTAAAAATCAACATCGCTGAAACAGGGAACATAAACAGAGGAGGTCAGCATCACCTGCGAGCACTTTACCAATGCAAGATCATTACTGCCATTCACTTCAAACAGGAAAAAACCATGGTTAGCAATAAATTAGCCAGGAAAGTAGGCAAAAAACCCCCACTATACATCTGCAAGCAGCATCACAAGATTTACAATTAACATTTGCAAATATGACCATGCTGAGTTAAGACTGCAGGAGTGGGGCATGAAATTACCCATGGGGCACCCTTGAGAGGGGGCACCCTTAAATGGTTTTGGTTGCAACACAATGATGTTCTGCACATTTAGCCCATTTCAAAAGCCCCCAGTCAGTAACTGGGTTTCTTGACACCTCTCCTCCACAGGTAAGACATCCAATTTATTTTTAAAGGCCCTGTTTGTTTTCCCAGATTAAAAAGAAAAGCATACAAAGTTCTTACCTAGCACAAACTTCTTTCCAGGGGAGACAGAAGTTCACTAAGGGAAGTAAAAGGGAAAGGGAGGACTTAAAAAACAGCCTTGGGAACTGCAAGAGAAACGAGCTGTGCTCCAGCAAAGCTGTGGTGAGAAAACACTGCTTCCCAAGGTCACCAAAGAGCAGTGAAGTGCTGAGAGCTCTCCAAGGCCATGAGAACCTCAGCTCAAGGTGAACTAAGTTTTTCTATTTACTTCCACTGCTGGGAACAGCCCCCTCCTCACTGCAATGCTGATTTCCAACAAAATACGGAAACAACAACTACCTTGTTAAACAAAATTATTAAGTTACCTTATAAGACAAGCACAGACAGGAGCAGTTTCTGTGGACAGTTACCTGCCGAGAAGTACCCCTGTAGCCATACCTCACTGGGAGGTTGATGGGAGGCAACAAACTGTTGTGACCTCCTCTTCCCTATGCAGCAAGCGACATTTGCTCATCGAGACAGAGAGGTTATTGCTCTTTAACCTGCCTGAGAAACCTTTCCTTCCCCTCTAACAGAACCCAAAGATTCTGTGAATCTCTCTCACATTCATATAAATGTCTATTAGGAAATCTACTTGAAAGTGCTCGTTGCAATGTGTCTGACTCCTTTGTTTAAAGTTCACTAGTGTTTTACACAGACTGGCTGTGGTAGTGGTAAACTGCTCAAGTACAGTTCCTGAAATGTGAAATAAATAAAAACCAACAATAAAACAAGGCTTCTTACTGTACCAGCAGGATAACGTCTGCATGGGTTTGGTTTCTTCTCTGCATAAAAATAAGACTGTTTCTTACACAGTTGTCCATGAATTTTTCCAGCATGGGGTGACTCCTCTAATAATTAAAAATACTCATTACAGCAGAGATGCACTCAGCAAGCTTCTCTGGGCAAACAAACGAGATCAACCTGAAAAAAACCACATTGTTTGGCTGAACACAAGCATCAGTACTGAAATCACTACATCATGCATTATTCTTCCCAAGATGCCTCTTTAGTATGAAAGCACCCAGGAAAATTTATCCCTTTACTGAGTACTTTACTAGCCACATTCATGAGATTTAAGCCACCCAGCCATGGCAATGCTGTTAGTCCACCACAGGGGACAAATCACGGGCCACACTGAGACCTCCAAGACTGCTGAAGTCATTCCATGCTTTATGGAATGAACTCGGTACCTGACATGTTAATAAATACCAACTTATTTTAATAAGTTTGTTTACATTTCAAGTAAACCAACAGACATTGATAAAAATAACTTCAACTCAGAATCACAGAATCAAACATTCTGTGCAAACATTTAGTTTGACATTAATTCAACTTGGATAAAATAGTATCCTGAATGATTCTACTGATTTCTGCAACTCTGATAAAAACTACTCAAGCAATAAACAGAAAATAATTGTTAATATGTAACACTGAAGTGTTGAAGTTACTTAACAAAAATAAACTCTGTACTTAAAATAAACGATGTAAAGTTACAACAGCTCTTCACTTATGAAACCTGTAGTATAATCTGCAACAAATGAAGTTTTTCATTGGATTGTGAGCCTGGTTACAGACCTGTAAACAGATGACAAGTGACAAAGTCTGTGATCCTGCCAGCATCCCAAGGGGAGATCTGCTGAGCTGGACTCAATTTTATCATAGAAACCTGCACCACAGTAACTCACAAAGGTAAATTAACATCGTTCTTCAGAAAACAGGGTACTAGGGTTGCTATAGTGATAAACAAATACATAATTAACAACTTGTACAAAATATGGGCTGACAGATAAATAGTATTTTCAGAGTAGGCATATCAGAGATTTGGATTTTGCCCTTCTGAAAATATATCAAGTATTGCTACAGAAAGGAAACAGTAAATTCAACAGAACTCCACAGGCAGAACAAGTTACTCACTTTCAGAAAAAAATGCAGATCGTTCTAAAGCAGTTGTGCCTGTCCAAATCTGCAACTCTGGAAAGAAAACTGCTTCCTTCCTACATATGAACCAACTGAGAATTGACCAATACTTCTCTCTTTTACATGAATTTACATTGCAGTTTTCACACTTCTATTGATCCAATTTAACAGAAGAGCAAGGGGAGCTGGCAGGTGTCTGGTTAGCCAAGCTGTGAATTTTCCCAAAGCAGCTTTCCTATGAATTGGTTATTTTGTTTCCTGAATGTAAGTGGTAGAAAGAAAGAATGAATTTTAATACAGGAATAATAAACTACCTCTTTTTTTTTTTTTTTTACTAAGAGCAACCAAAATACATCAACAGAACAAGCCATTCTAATGCAAAGCTGATCACAGTAACATTGTGCTTCATAACAGCCCTTGGAGACAAAGCAAGTTAACACTTTGGCCTCTTTTGAATATCATCTTATCAGGGGCCTAGGAAGAAAGCAGTTGTTAATAATTAGATGTGGCTTTTACTAATAAAATTAATCTTCCAATGTTAGATTTTTGAGATAAAAGCATAGCTTCATGGTGGCAGAAGTACAAGAAGGTACCACAGATAGCTGAGCATGTCTTTAATTTTAAGTCCAAATGGCTGAGTGTCTGAAAGCAACACTAAATGAAGTGCAGCTATGAGTGCAGCAAGAATAGGAGATACAATCCTCAAAGTGAAAGTACGAAAAGCCTTGTCTTTTTAAATAGAGATTTAAAAAAATCACTAGGAAACTGCATTAATGGAATTTTTATTCAATACACAGCTCTTTCATTTGGTGTGGAAGTAAACATATCCCTTAAAGAAAAAACAAACAAACAAACAATAAAAAACCAAAACCACTCTACTTTTCTCTCCTGCTTTGGAATTTATGAACATGCTCCCATTTCTTCTAGACTTTAAAAAACAAACAAACAACAAAACAAACCCAAAACAATTACCAGCAGGACTCTTTGAAAGGAATCTTATCAGGAAAGGCCAGCCTGTCCACTCACTATTTCAGTTCTTCCAGCCATGTCTTATTTGTATGCAATGAACAATCAGATGTTAGATATTGTTAAGATTACAGCATAGCTAATAAATACTACCCACAGACTGGGGTAGAACAGCAGCACACAGGCCCAATCGATCCTTGCATGTGTTTAGTTACATGTTAATAATAGATAAACACTTTGTCTGGATTCCACACTCCAACCTTGCTGCTAGAAAAGTTGCAAAAAGAAAGAAAAATCATCAGTATAAAAAAAAAATGCTCTAACACAAGCTTCAAAGAGCAAAGAGCTTTCACTCCTCTATTTCAGAGATGATTAATTAAGGTGCTTTTGGATTCTGCATTGCAGACAGGTTGGCAGAGGTGGCTGTTTATTAAACTCTTAACAGTCTTCGGTGTCTGAGAGCAGTCCCTAAGGCACAACCCCTGACCTGCCCCTAGTTTCTGTAGCGGGGCATCTGTGGAGCAGGGGCTCCCTCTAAGGGGGCTGAGGAGGAGACAGTCATGAGCTGTCCAGCGTGCATTCTCTCATTCACTCGCAGTTCACAGCCATCCTTCAGCATCCTTATAGCTATCTTTGCAATGTTTTTCGAGTCATCAAGTCCACTGTGTGGTCTCCCATCATAACTCATGCCCAGCTTTTCCAGCATGATTGTCAGTTTGGTCTGGTTCCTAGGAACCTGGTGGAGAAAGTGAACCACATTCGAGAGTTAGGTCCTGTTCCAGGTCTTTTTAATCTAACACAGTGCAGTAGAAACATATGCAGATTTTAAGTCATATACTACTTTCATGTTGCCTTTGGTCAGATCACTAACAATTTAACTTCAAAGCACCTTGGTGAGACAGACACTCTCATTTTTTGCAGAGCAGACACAGTCAACAGGAGCTTGTCTAGACTCAGGATAATCTCAAGAGTCTCACCACTACCAGCACCAGCTCGAGACGTGCCAGCGCTGGCAACAGTGGAAACATGGCCTAGCTAGGTTTAACAAGCCTTATAAAAAAGGAATTACTACCTTAAATGACATTGCAGAGGAAATCAGGTTTTTCCTTTTAAATGCTAAATGATTAAAGAAGCACCAGGCTCCTGCTTTTCACTGACATCAAGTTTCTGAGTGCCTCCAAAAACCACAGAAACAGATCAGCAACACATATAGCAGCCCATGTTTACAGGAATGACCAACAGCACGAACAGACAAGGAAGCTTAACTGACCTACCCATGCAAAGTGCTACACCAGGAAAGCCCCAAGTCCTCTCTTGATTAACTACTAAACATGCATTTGTTCTTTGGAAAGGTCAAAGAAAAATAAAGAGCAAAAAAAAGGAAAACTTTCATTTGCTCTCTTGGTGGTGGTGGTTGTGGTGGGGGAACATGGGACATGACAAGTTCTAGGATACTGCACCACACTGCTGGATTTAATAGCTAGGCAGAATGGTGTTGCCAAAATCTGGCAATATGCAACTCCAATAACACCACCCACAAACTGGGCAGGGGACACACACTGCAGGTTGTGGGACATTACACAGGAAAGACAAAATACATTCCTTATCATTAATTTTATCTATTACTATTACTTAACAGATTCAAGAGCAGCACAGAATAGCTAAACAGAAGCACTGAACAACTAAAAACTGTTTGCATTTATGAAAAAAAACACAAAAAGAAACTGATTCCTTTTAAGTTACAATTTTCATTGCCTTTGATGAAAAATCACGGCTCAACAGAGAAGGAAAAAGCAGGTATGTCTAGGTTAAAGCTGACAGGACTGACATGACTGTCCTGTGTTCTAGCGTGTTTCCAACAGAAACATTTATGCAGAAACAGCAAAGTAATAGAGACAGAAATGAAGTAACCCTGTAATATTTGCCCAGCACAAAGTAAAGCTCTTCTCTTAATTACATGTTAACTTTTTTTTTTGCCTAGAGGTTACATTCAGTATGAAAAAGCCCTTCAAGAGAAGATCATCAGCTAGGCTGAAATCACTTTCAGACAAATGGTTTAGTGTAGATTGACTAGGAATTCGCTAAAAATCTCCAATAACCCATTTTAAGGTCATCTGACAGTGAAAGAAAGCAGCAAAAACGTCTACCACTGAGCTTTGTATTACTTTTCTCTTGACAATTTGACTCCACTGTAGATATGACTTATCTTTCAGTGTCAAAAGTGAAGATATCTGAGGGTAGCGGTGCAAAGTAGTTTTGTAGTGAAAACAGGAAAACAGGAAAAACTAATTGAAAAATCAATACAGTCTTTTTAGCTGAGCTTGGTCTAAAAGCACTGGTATGACATTTTTAGACAATCTGTCATGGAGCATCTCCTGATTCTTAAAAACAAGACTAAAATCAAAATGCAGTAGATTACATGATCTTCAATTAGTAAAGGGAGATCTGGGCATAAAGCACATTTGAAAATCAAGCCCCAAGCAACTAATTTAAGTACTATAATTTCATACTACACAAGTAAAGATGACAAGCACAACAGGACCTTCTAGAGTTTTAAACCAAATTGTTCCACAAGAGAAACAACAATTTATACAAACCTTATAGAAGTTCCCATATGATTTGCGAATATTGATCCACTTTTTGGCAAAAGAAGGGTATTTGAGACGGCTCATACGGCACTGGATGTTCAAAAACTTACTCATATCCCAAGATCTTAAAAAGTCGAAAGAAGAAAAGAGAAAAACATCAGTAATGCATAATTCAGATGCCTGCATTCTACATATTGCACAGCTGTGGCACAAAAAGCTGTCTTGTCTTTGATGATCGGTAGAAGGAAAACAGTTTAGGAAAAGCTTTTTTGCTATAGTCATGGTATAGAATTTTTTAGTATGAACTTGTTAAGTCATACAGAAAACAAACAACAAGATGAACAAGATTTTTGCTAGGATGGTTTCAGGTCCAGGATGGTTAAAAGTAAGTAGCACACCAACTTCTCCACCTACCACATCTACTCTAAAAATTACCAACAGATGCTTACACAGCCCTTGGGGAAGCGACACCTTAAGTTTTCCTGATTATTTGGGTACACATGCATGTCTGCACTTAACATAGGTTACTGAAACGAGACTGCACTTAAGTTTTAGAAGAAACCAGACCTTTATGGAAAGAAGATTAAACTATAACCCTAGGCACTTCTTGTGCATCTTCCTGAAGAGAACCACCCCAACAAGTTTGTAAACTTCAAGCCAAAATAAAGCCTTTTTTCCCCTCTCTTGCAGCTGCCTACACAATCTCACCTATATGACAGACATTTCACCGCACCTATTTTCCGTGAGGAATTTCACTGAGGGAATTCCAGACACATTCTAGGCCTAGTAATATCACCAGTTTTGCTTTGACATTTCCTTTCTTTAATTCACTGTTGCTTTCAAAGATGGAAACCTGACCATAGGTAAAAAATTAGTCAAATAGCAGCATTTACAGCAGTTGCTTAAATTAAAGTTGGAATTACATTATTCTAAGTCCTCATTTTTAAGGTGTACACAGTTCTAAACTGTACACCTCAGGTCTTATGTGACAGCTTTTAAATGACTTCACCGCTCACATTGAACAAACACATTTCAATGATACAGGTTCTTCACCAGAAAAGGCCTGGGATTTATAGTCATTGCCCAAATCTTCAGGAATTTGGAGGGAAAAAAAAGTCTCATTTTTCAAAAGCAAAAAAATTCTCCTACTTGCTAAGCTGGGTCAGTTAAAAACACTTTTGTTATGTATCAATTCATTGAATTGTACGACATCTCAAGCTGGAAGGGACTCATAAGGATCATCGAGTCCAAATCCCAGTTCCTCACAGGGCTACCTAAAAACTAAACCATGTGACTAAGAGCATCATCCAGATGCTCCTTGAACTCTGACAGGCTTGGCGCTGTGACCACCTCTCTGGGGAGTCTGCTCCAGTGACCAACCACCCAAAAAAACCCACCAAAAAACCCCACACCTTTCTATCCCTTAGAGTGAGATTTTTTTTTCCAGTATCCCTTTATATTTATTTAACTGCAGCCACAAAAAAAAAGGATAAGAAGTCTATTCAACATCGTTTACTTGCATGAAGAAGGCAAGGAAAGAAACAGTGCCATCTAATGGATTTATGCTTCATGTCAAACTGCTTAGTTTGGCTTCTCCGATTTTCATGAAAGCTAAAATTATAATAAAATGGCACAGTGGCAGCAGCACAATCCACCTTTAACAATATTCTCACACAGATTAAACACTGTGTTGCAGTTTTATAGCGTGCTGAAGGCGGCATAAGGACATACCCATCTGTCAACATGGAATAGGTATACTTTGTTCCCAGCTCTCGCTGTCTCATCCACTCTACCACATTTTGCAGAACTTGAGGAAATGTATCAGCTTTGTCAACAATGTCCTAAGAGAACAGGAAGAAAGGAAAGTGAGGAACATTTTTGGCAGGAAAAAAACAGTATGAAGTGTAAGAATTCGTATATAGGCATTCACTAAATCACTCACTCCCTCAGTTGGGTTCACAAGAATCTTCAGAAACAGATTACACATCAGAATAAGCAGACAATTGGACAGATTTTTCCTAAACTGAAAAAAGCACCACAAAAGCACCACTTAAAGAGCCAACCTCCAAATGGCATCCATAAAGATAACAGGGTTAGTCAGCTGTTGAACTTGGATTACACCTTTGAGCTCGTTTCCCAGGCTCAAGTCACTTGATGACAAGCCATTGCCATCGTAAGAATCTAATCTCTTTAGAATAAAAATCTTAGAAGAGGAACTGATGGAATTCAAAAGGTGCTTTCTTCTGATAAAGTTTCTACACAAGGATTACAAAATGAATGCTTTTCCCTACAGAACCTTACAAACATCTAAATGACCAATTTAGTGAAATCACTTCTGTGATAATTGGGAGAAGAGCAGAAAAACAAGGATTAAGTGAATAAGCCTAACAGAAAAATTACCATGAAATATTACCAGTTTGAAAACACCAATACCACATCTCTTTTTTTCATATTTTTTCCTGAAGAAAAAATGAGTACAAATTACCTGGGTGATTCCTGTCAGACTGATGCAGAAGTCTGAAAGCTTGGGATTGATCTCTGGTTTCACATACTGCTGAAAGGTATCCTCCTGTAACAAGAGGACCAAACACTCAAGAGCAGCACACTACATAGCCCACAAGGCAACTTCTCTGGCTTGCCCATAGCCAAAGGCAATAGCAGTTACTTGTCCTGCTGGAGGCACAGTGGAGTGCATACCTCCTGAGCCAGCAAAAGCCTCCTGACTGACCATCATGAAATTCCCAATGGATGGCTTTCCAACCAGAACACACCCTTCCTCTCAGCCAGGAGGCACCCAAGAGCAGGGATGCATATGTGAGAGGGAAGGACAGACTGCAGTAAAGGAGAGGGTTTGGGAAAAGGAGGGCAAGAGTAAGGAAAAACAGAAGTGAGAGGCACGAGCAAAGCCTGATGTTTTTCAGGTGGTATCCCTAAAGGCTCACCTGTAATTCAAGGAAGGCAACCAGCCACGTATTTCAGAGGTAACACAACGACCTCACTCTGGGAAACGGAGGAGCACAAGACTGAACGCTACATGCAAGTTTCACGGAAAAAAGCAAGCTCCAAATCCCTGCTGCTACACAAACCCTTTTGGGCAGAGATAAAAATCAGACTGCTTCCTGCTACTCTAAAGGTACAGTCGTGGTAATCTGCACAATCCTCTTCCTGCCGTTGGTAATACATGCAGCTACACTCTAATGTAGCATCACAGTGATTACTGGAAATCTTCCTCCTCTTAAAAGTTCTTGATAAATGAACCATTAGTCAGAGGAGCATGCACTTCCTCTGTTTCACTGAGTCACTCAGCAAGTAGTTTTTTCTAAAGGAAAGCTGTACTGGGACAGAGCACCTGAGGCTGCCAACTGCCTACTAAATATGCTTAAAATCAATCCGTTGGGTACATTGTGGAAATAGTGGAATAGGCCAAGAAGCGTTGTTCACTCAACCCCACTTTCCAGAGCTCTGCATTAGTCTCTTCTAGATTGCCTCACACAGGACTGCAGAATTTGTTAATTCTTGTTTATGATTAAGCCTTTGAGTCCTAGAAATAGCTTTGTCAATCTTAAAGCAGGGAAAGAAGGCGGGTGAGGAGAACTGAGAAACTGAAAGTCCCTCCTATCAGCAGAAGCATGATCTATTGCAGATGCTTTAAGAGTCGAAAGGAAGTTTTTTGTTTGTATGTAAGAGGGGCAGAGGATAGGTGTAAACCTGTTTAAAACAGAAGCTGTTTTTAATGAAGTTTAACATCTACCTAAAAACTAATCTAGACTTTCTGAAGCAAAATAGTTACACTGAAGAACAGCCTACTGACACAGGAATCAGCTCACTTACTATTTCCAGGGTACGCGTGTTTAGTAAGACGATAGGAAACTCAATAATTTCATGTACGAATTCAGGTGGGTTTCCTTCTTCACATGTTGCTTCAAAGTCAACAACACAGATGTAGTCATAGTAGCTCTCTCCATTAATGGGTTCCTTCTGCATCAGCTTCTGTTTCTTGTAATAGTTTTTCAGTCTCTTTTTCAGCACGTCTTTCACTCCTCTGAAGAGGGAAGTGACAAAGATTATTTCACCACTATAGAACTGAAGCTACATTTAACATTTGAAAGCTCATAATTTATTAACCTCATTTTGAACATCTGCACTTACAAAGTCTGAATTCAACTTTATCATATGGTTAACACTCTATCATCTGGGATAGCGCAGAGGCTGCGATACCCCTTGACAATGAAAACATCCAGATAGTATCAGTACTTGGGGACAGACTGGGAAGCACAGTGCAGAGACATTCCACAGTCACCTCCAGTTCAGCAAGACTCAGTAGCTGAAGCTCCTGCAAAGCCCAAGTCTTTGTAGATTGCTCCTAGATGACCTCTGGAAGCTTCACCCCTATTTCCCTGTGTCTTCTGCCTGAAGTGACTGATGTCCAAGGTATTTCTGCAGCAGTGGCACAGATAATGCAGAACCCGGCTAAAACACCCACATTTTAAATATGTCTCAATTTAAATTTAAAATTGAACTTGAGTAACTAACTTATTCAAGACTTCAGTTGTCAGAAAAACTTCTTGGTCAAAATCCCGCTTTTCAGGAGGTTTGTGGCTAACACAATACAATCACAGTGGCAAGTGATTAAAGTTACTTACCACATCTTTCTAATGCAAACATTATAAAATGCAAGTGCAGGTGCCAGAACTGCCACATACCAAACCAGAGCTGAATAAACAAGGATAATTTACTCTTCGAAGGAAGTTATTTTTAAAATTACACATTGCAAATGAAATCACAGAAGCCGTAAGAGCTACTGGTAGCAAGTGGTATTATCAGAAAAGCAGCCGACTGATCCACAAAGAAAAACTGGAACTGGACTGCAAAACCTGCATTTGAGAACATCAGCCTCTTCTGCAAATGCAACTGAAACTCTTTTTCACTCTGGTTAATTAATCTAGTTTTAGTCAATGACCAGTTCGTTCAAAATTGAGACAGTATAGGAACTGATGGAAGAGGAAATTAGTTTTTTTGTCATGAAACCTTCATGAAATTGGAGAAGGAGATGATGTGCTATCAAAATAATCCTAAGGGACAGGATGCTGTGGGGCAATTTGCTCATTTCACAACATGAGAGGTGATGTACTATTTGTTTACATGTAAAACACATTCTGATCTATTTAATTTAATATATTCACTAAAGAAGTCTAGCTTATCTAAAAGAAAAGTTTTAAACTTCCTGCATTTATAGCTGTGTAAAAAATACAAATAAAAACTAGTAACCTAGGAAGAAATTACAAACACATAATTTACTATTTGAATTCTGCTTTTTGTTTTTAAAATTAGAATAACTGCTGAACAGCTGTATAAATCTAACCTGTTCTAGTAAAAAAATTATCAGGTAATTACAAAAATTTTGCCTCTCAAGTAGTCAAGTTCATGTAAATGAAGGAGAAATTTAAAAAATAATGCAGCCAGAACACCTGCAGACAGACACGATGGAGGTGACAGGCTGCACTTTCAAGCCCACACCATTTTGTTTTTCTTTTGTTCTGTTCAAATTAATCTATTCCTTCCTTTTTTCCCCTTCTGAACATCCTCTCCTCGACAGTCGCCTTCTTCTCTAGAAAGCCAGACTTCTCCTTTCAACCTCCATCTCACCTTTCATATTGCCTCTTCCTCCAGAGCAGCAGCTTCTCACTTTGCTAACTCCCCACCACCACTACTACTTCCTCATTACTACTGGCAATAGAAACAATACACCTTGTTTTTCCCAGCTGACTTTCTTTTCAACATCTCAAATTAGTTTGGCTGTAGCAACATCAAAGGGTCTTGCAGGTCATTTCCGATAGAGCAGGAACCACTCTCTTAGATACCTAGCCCTTTCTTCCTCCTCCTCAATGAGCACAAATCCAGTTTATAATACATTCGCTTATTCACATTATTGCATCTCATCTATTCAGATCAGCAAACAAAAGCTCCATCAAGACCAGTGTTCGGTGGTGTGTGCTTTTCACTTTGTGGTGTATTCTTAAGCTTTAAAATAATCATCCCTTACATCTCTACCACTCTTAAAGAACAATTAAAAGGTTTACAATCAGCCTAACCTGGTTTCGAGCTTGAACTCTGCAAGTTTACTCCTGAGCTCATCTCTGGTCATTCTGTTGATACAGCCATTGGTTATAGCAATCTCTTTGTAAACAGGATCACTGAAGTCATTCAAACTGGCAGTCGAGTTTTTCCCGTTTGTTTCTTGACCACTGATCCTACAATGCTGCCTACCCTAGAAAAAAAGAGAAATCTGAAGGTAATTTTTAAAAGTCAAAACAAGGAGCTAGAGCATACAATTTATGCATAGTTTTGGTGCCAAAATGCAGTAAAGCATCAGACTTAGTGAAACAGCTTAGAGACGGGTAAGAAAACCAACACTGAAGGCTGCTCTGAAACACCACTTTTCACTTTAATAAAAATGAAAGGGGATACGAACACGTCTGAAATCACGCCAGAGTAACCCTAAGACAAAACCAGAACGTGTGTCCCAGTTTCAAGAGAAAAAGTTAACTCTCCGTTATGAGCTAGAAAAACCTTGACTAACAGGAAGGGATTTCCCTCGGTACCTTAATTAACCAGAATCTCTGACTGTTCGAGAAACGCAGATGTCCAATGCTGAGTAAAATAAACAAAACAATAAATTAAGAAGAAAAACTAAATGCACTTGAACTCTCAACTTCCAGCCTCTGTGAAGCGAGCAAACGGTGGGCCC